GCGTCAGAGAAAACTACCTGTGTGTCTACGATTTCCCAGACAGCATATAGGGACATCTCGCCTGTGGGTAACAGGCTCAACAAATCAGTTAGATAGCTGTCTTGTGTGTCTCATATATGTTATGTTGGGAAGGTGCAGACGAAAGGTGTTGGGTACTGTTGGGCAGTCGGGCGTTTTGTGTGTCGCACCCTGTTAGTTGTAGGACATGCAGTCCCATCAGTTTACAAACATATTCTCAGTTTGGTATGCATATGTGCGGAGTANTCTTAATATGACACAACGAGTCCATCTCTATCATAGAAAAGAGTCAGAGACAGATTAACAATGGAATCATAGGGTCAGAGAAAACTACCTGTATGTCTACGATTTACTAGACAGCATATAGGGATAACTCTCGGATGACAGGCTCAAAAGATCAATTTGGTAGCTGTCTTGTGTGTCTCATATATGTTATGCTGTGGAATTTCATGTCGTTAAATGTGAGAAGGGCACGGGAGAACATTTCTCATCATTGCCTCCTGATGACGTGGTCGCCGATAGAGGCGTGTGGTTGATGAGGTTTCATCACCGACATGTGGGTGTGTGTTAAATGCAGTGGGTGTGTTCACCTCTCTCGTCCGTGTGTAGGCAGGAGGTATGGCTACCTCTCCCATTTGTAGGCAGCGTGGACCATACTTGTAAGTATATACAGGGTTCATCATTTCATGCATGTTACATCATTTGTGTTTGACAAGGGAGGAATGAGAGGTTGTGCGTATGGGCACGGGGATACTCCCTGTGTCCGTGTTGTTCCCAGATGTTCCCAGATGTTGCCGCATCAAGTGGCAGCATATGTCATGGACAGGTAGACGTGGAAGGACGGCGACAGGTAAACGGCAGCAGTAGTATGTTGTGCATGGCATGGTGGGCTTGTGCAGAAGCGCAGTCCATCTTCGACAACACACAGAGGAGGTTGCTCGTACCTGTGGGGATTTTTCGAAGTCCTGGGTCAGCCAAGAGCAGCAGCAAGGAGCAAACGCAGTGCAGTATACTCTACAGCTTTACAGTCCGTCCTCCTCAAGTCCTATCGGAGATGA